GGTGAAGATTCATTAAAAAACAACCGCTCGTCTCTAGTGTTCTTTTAAGAGCACGCTCAAAATTCAATATATTCGATAATTATTTTTCAGCCAACATGTCATATGGTCTTTTATGTGCAACTAATAGAGACCGATACACGCACGTGTTTCGGCCTTGACAGCCAGGCTGTTGGCTCAAAAAATAATTATCAAATATATTGAACTTTGAGCGTGCTCATTTAGGAGAGCACTTGAAACGAACGCTATGATAGTTCGAAAATACTAGCCAAGAGCAATCGAGTGTAAAACACTGCCAATCGATGATTTATTTCACTTGATGGCACGTGTAAGTCGTTTTGTCGTCGCCTACTCTCTCGATGGAGAATGTAGGGGCCCACCGAGAGAGCCGGCTAGACGATGATACGACTGATAAGGCTGTCAAGGCCGAAAACACGTGTATCGGGCTCTATAAGCTGTCCATAAAAGACCACATGGAATGTAGGCGCAGAAATAGAAGCTTTGAATTTTCTTATAAATTGATATTGCATGTCATTAATGAAAAATTTTATGGTTGATTAAAAAATGGATTTTCAGAAAAACGTTGGAAAGCTGATAGGAAAATATTATATCGATTGATTAATGGAGGAATGAGGAAAATTGCAATCCAGAGACGAATCGCAACGATATACTTTACAGCTCAATAAACAACGATAGCGCGTACTCTTTCAATTATTGAATGCTAGCCGAGCAAATACGTAGCCACCATGATAAATCAATAATGACCGAACGAGCCAAATGCACACAAAGTGACGTCATAACGAACACCCAAAAAATGGATAAAGAAACGTTCGGAATGCAATTTTTCTCTTAATGATAACTTTGATGACGTCATAACGAACACCCAAAAAATGGAAAAAAAAACGTCTAAAATAAAATTTTTTTTCTCGTTGATGATTTTGATAATGCCATAACGAAAGTCTAAAGAAGAAAACGAAGGAACGGTCCGAATGGAATTTTAATTCCTTAGTGATTGACGATTCCTTTCCTCAAGGGATTGACGGAACCGAGGGAGGGTGCTACTGATGAGTCCCAATAGGACGAAATAGGCGCCTATATAGCACTAGGACCTATGGCTCAAAATATGTCATATCCTTAGTGATAAGTTTGCTGACGTCATAACGAACACCCCAGAGATGGAAAACGAAACGTCTCGAAGGAAATTTGGATTCTTTAGCGACCACTGTGACTTTAATAGATCGGAATTTTCTTTGTAGACTTACAAATGGAAAATTTGTGATTTACTGGAGTTTGCCAGGGTTGATAGAGTCGATCTTGTGAGCTTGGTGATATTTGTTCTTTTTTCACAAATGGTTAGATTTTCGAATAGATTAACTTCGAAGTGGGCCAGATTAAATATTATTTTAACATTCGATTTATTCGGCTTAATCTCTTCAGAGCGATTTTAACAAATTTTTTTCATGTAACTAAAAAAACGCTGCAGTGGAACATTAGGGAAACAAAAAGCGCTTGAAGCTCAAGAAGCGACTGAAAATTATGTTTTGAGTTTTTTAATTTTTTATCAGCTGAAGTTATGAGGAGTTTCGTCTGAGTACTTTACATGTTAACACAGCATTTTCTGACCAACTGTGTATATGGTAAAACTTGCCGAAAAGCTAACTATTTGTGGAATTAAGCAAAGATATCATCAAACTCGTAAAACAATAACATATTGATCAAGAGCGAGGTCTCAATAGGAAGATGGTGATGGGATTATTGCAATGTTCACCTTTTTTTCTTTTATCGCTTTCAAAGCAAATTTATGTGTTATAACTATATATGCAAAAAGCTCCTCGGGGAAAGCTTGAGAAGGGGGTTCAACTCCCGAGCGAAGTTCAAAATTTCGCGTATGGCCCAATATTCTTCGATATCGAAAGAACTATACTGTCAAAATCCTCGGATATTTCATCCTACGTGTTATAATATAAATGAAATTTGAAACCATTCGATGTTTGGAATGCAGTTAAAAATTTTGTATTTGGTCGTTGAAGAACAAATACATGTCGGAAGGCATCATACTAGTGTTTCTAATCGTAAGACCATTATAAAGTATTTTTTTCAGAAGATAGAGAGAAAACACTTCTAGAAGCTATTCACAGAAACTATTCCAAAAGACGAAGGTGTCTGAAAAGTAGCGTAACGGGATTTCATTCGGATTAGTTCAAACACTGATGAACAGTTCTCGTATTCTCGATATAGCTTCAAGACATTAGTTGGAGCAGTTTGAGCTCGTTTAGAATAATTCTAATCACTTCTACAGAATAGAATCTTTAGCAGTCTGAGAAAAAAAACGAAGGTAGAAGTCAAATTTTCGTGGTTTTCACGATTAAAACTATTTGATTTTTCGCTGCTCTTTCTTCCTATTTTCAAATTCAATCACGTCTCATACTGAATAAATCTATCAAGAAGAACGGAGACATCTTTCAGAAAAGAATGTATGAATAAAAGCCGGGCTAAAATTCTCGCGACGACAACACTCATCCAGAAATTCGCTTCACAACGACAGCTAGTGATACTAATAGGATCAAATTCCCGAGTCCTGGTGATAAACAGCGCTGCGACATTTTCACAGCCTAGCCCCACAATATTAGCCAAAGACAAGTAACGTTCAAATATACGATAGAACAAAAAACTGAAGAAATGATAAATGGTTGGAAATCCACCGAGAAATACTTGTTAGGAGTGTGGAAATATACATGATATGTAGCAATAAATGCTACTAATGACATCGAATAGACGTCCAAATCTATCGCCCGTGTAGAAGATCACCTTGAAACTGCTCTGAAAATCGGCAGTTTTTATAACAGTTGAACGAACACTGAGATACTATGGGATAGTGTAAAAATTCGATTAATGATGACGGATACTTTACTAAAGAATAAGACTGACATCATAGAAAATGAAATAACTAAAAAAGACTGCAACTGTGCCTTTCGAGCCTTTATTGTTTGAAATTCATTCAGTGGAAAAAAGTGTATTGGTGCTCCAAAACTGTACGAAAATAAAGAGAATAAAAAGAAAAACGGATCATGGATACAGGTTCATAATGACATTGATGAGATCAAATGAAAACTGGAACTTTTGCAGTTTCTATTTTATGAAACATTGCAAAATAGGTGATAGTCAATCATTTGCAGCAACGCTTGAATGCTTTGTCTTTCTAAAAAAAACAGCGTTCGTAGCAGAACATCCACTTGACTGGTTTTTCGTCGATTGGACAAGTTTTGTCTGTTTTCTAAAGTGTCGAGATATCCGATTACCCAATGAGTGGTTTTTCTAACGGAAATGTCAAGCCATCGCAGCATAATCAAACACTATACTAATAATGACTTAATGACGATAACTTGGCTTTATCTTTCAAAAACTATTTACTTTGAGGTTTTACAGTAACTAAAAAGTAAGACAAAAACACGTCAAAACTCAAAATGTCCGTATTGACATAGAATCCTAAAAGATACGAGAAACTAGAAAAGAAGTAATGAACAACTTTTTGAAAAACGTCATTAAGAAATTCAAATGACAGGAAGCATAAAAGTCACAGAGTTCAATTACTTTGATTAGTAATTTTCGAACACCGCCTACTTGAACTGCATCTAATTATAAGATCTTATAAAGGATTTCCTTGGCAAAAGATATTAAAGCAAAACATAGCATTACGAGCAAAAAACAATCATCAAGGTTTTTTTCTACACTTCGAGGTCACTGAGCTGTCAATTAATATCACAAAACTGGTCATCTAATTCAGGAAGAGTAGGTTTGACTACAAGAGAAAGATAGTGACCTTTTCGTCTGTGGTTCTCAGTATTACACTTTATCGCTTATTTAACTCGCATTACAGTTGTTTTAGTCATCATTGGTCATCCTGTGGTCATCAATCATTGAAAAAAAAGAAGCGAATCGTAAAGCTAAAAAACTTTCAAAAAGCCCAGCAGCTGACTATGACGATTGTTTTATAACCTGCTATACGCATGGGGTGATGGACAAATGTTTTTTGAGACGTTGAACGAAGTGCTAGATTATTTATAACCCACTCGAGAGAAACAGAAAGGAAAACTGATTTTCATTTTGGATGTTTAAATTAATATATCCGAAATGGCTATTTCATCAAGTGGAACCGGAAATTAGGTGAAAACAACATACTGGCTTATTACTTCTCTTTTCTTCTCTTTTCCACACCAGAGGAGAGTTTGTGGGAAACATATTTCAAACACCTGAAAGAAAATCGGAATTCCCAAACCACAAGTCTCAAAAAGCATGACCCCGTTTAATCTATCCTTCAATCGAGTAGGCACTAACCACCGAACACTCTATGATGGTAACTCGTTCAGAGCTGTTGGTATGACCGTTTGTGTAGAACGCAAAACTGCACAACTTATCCTAACGATATAGATGGTCATAAGTTCAGATTTGGTGAACTCGATTTTTGCAAAGTGAGGACTAATAAGTAGGCGGAACGTATAGACGAGTTTGTTTCCGTATAAAAAAACACCTAGACGGTAAACTCAAAGTTGAACCAAATCCTCCACTACGTGTGCATAGGATGATATGGAACGATAGACGATGTAAAAGATTTTGAAGTACAAGTCACCTGCTTTCACAGAAATTTAGAACTACATGACGTAAAACTTTCGAATCATTTTATGCGACTTCCACGAATCTGAAACATGAACAACACGGGTAGTGCCCTCCGATCACGGGCCACATTGTCTCATACCGCACGCGAAATTTTTGGACGAAATCATGGCCAGCTCGCCTTATATTTGAAGCGGAATTTTCGGCCTAAATCATGGACATATCCTCTTCACCTCGCGAAAGACTTGCGACTGGTCTCCAAAATTAAGTTAACGTCTTATCAGAACAAAACCGAGTGTTTGAACGAAAGTGTTCCCAAGCGAAGGAAATTCAAGCACTGAGTTTCTCTGGTGACGTTATGAAAAGTGTGCAGGGAGAGGTGTGCAAAACGAGTGTCGCTAATGCAACGGTTCAGCACGCGCTCGTGGAAAGAGTGAAGTCTGGGTTCAAGTCCCAGCTGACGCAAACGTTTTTGCACGCCACTCTACATCATTGGGTTATGAAAAGTATTTGACTTAGTAGATGACATTTCAATTTAATCTTTTCAGGCTGCGAAAAAGCAGGTACCACCGAAACAACTAGTGTTGAATTAAGCTTATATTGAGCCTCGTGTTTTCTCAATAAGAAGTATAGACTTATTTATCAGTATCAAAATTAATGAAATTTTGGCCCTAGAATGTACAACATGATTTTTTAACGTAAAGGTGCCACTGGATCGCTAGAATCGCTTAGTTGGCAAAGCGAATTCCATTTACTACATTGGCCAATGGGCGAGCTTGTAAAGCTAAATAAAAAGTTTCCACTCCCTCGGTCAATGAGTCAGTTTGTGTTAGAAATTTACTAGCGATATGACCGAACTTAGACGCAAAGCAGTAGAGGGTTTTTTTCAATCATAAAGACCAACACGTTTGGTACTTCTGCAGTAACCGAAGAACGCCCTGGCACGGATATGTGAGAATTTCAGAGAAAAAACTTGCGGAAAAGTAAAGGACCAATTTGTGCTGGTTACTGCAAAATTAGTACTCGGACCGCATCTGAAGGTATAAAGATCCAAAAACGTATTATAATAGCTCAGATATAGCAAGTAAAGAGAAATTGAAGGAAAATTAACAGCTGGTAAGGAAAAAACCAAGTTAGATGTTTTTATACAGCGTGAATGAAAACTAATTGCCTCTTTCACAACATCCATTGAAATTTATGAGTATCTCTCACTAATTCATTTATCTATCATTGATTATCTATGCTGGAGTTTATTCCCAAGTATTTTGTAGATATTACTCAGCATATGAAGCTGTTTGTTGATGCGCTGTTCAGATTTTTACACCTACGACTTTTTCCTTGGAGTGAAATAGAGGAGCTTGTATAGTCTACCACGCTAAGGGCTTTGGAGAAACTTAGAGGGCAAATATAAGAAATTATGTCATAATTTCCCAAGATTTCTCCGTGAAATCATTTAATGTGGTTCACGGGTGATTCGGCTAGTTGGTAATGAATGGTCTAAATCGAAAGTTCATGATCATTTATTTCAGTAATTACAGCTAGGAAACAAATTAAAAGAATACGAAAATAAGGACTTAGTTTTCACTTCCCTGTAGATAGAAATATGAAATTTAGCATTACATAGAGAGGTAAGACATTATAAAACGACCTCCAAATTGCCAAAATTTGCCGCTGAGACCTCAGATGACCTTTAACGGTGTTCAAGACGCAATAATAAATGAACTACTTATGAGTCATTGATGGTACGAAATGTTATGGGACGTCCCCATCAACCACGATCGTCCAGTTACTTGGATCTAAAGATACATACACATTGAAACCCATCAGTCATAGAAAACCTAGCAATTTTCATTCGGCTAAGATCAGTGCGGCTCAGGAGGGGACGAAATGCGTCGGATCGTCAGTCGAATAAACGTCTTTTATCAACATCGTGCTTTTCGCTCAGTCAACGCAGATTTTGTAACCTTCTAACGTCTTTTGTTCTCTTATAAAAACAACACTCTCAAGTGTTTGAGCTTCTTTGGTCGACTTTTTTGAAAATTTTACGCAGAAGTATGAAGAAACTAGATGTTTCGGCAATAATATATCGAACTTCCTCATATTTAATAAAAAACTATAATTCTGTCTCAGAGTCAACAAGATCCTCCCACTCGTCGAATTGTTCCTTCTATATGATTTCACCTGCCAAGCTTCTTACACTGAATAAGAAATGGATTTCAACATGTTCAGTATACCGGGATACGGAGACTCTTTGGAAGAAAAACATTTGAAGGATTAGTGGCATTACACAAAGTAGGAAAAAAACATCTCTAAATGATGTGTAGAACGATTTGAAGCCTTTCAGCTCCGTGTAAGAAACGACCTGCGACGTAATTTGGTGAGAAACGGTTGGGGTAATATTTGTTAGCCGCGCGGATGGCGAACAGACGAAGGGCATTGAGGCCGAGGAGTAGAGAGGTAGAGGCCGCCCTCGCCACTAGTACAACAATAACAACAACTACACATCGTCGTGCCCTAGAGAAAGATCCATCAACAACAAAGATCCCGGGACTCGGAGAAACCGATCCGGAACAGCTAAAAGTTGACTGGTAATTATCGCAAGGGATAGCAAGGTTATAGCATTGGCAATGTAAAGTTTGCGTGAAGCACAGAAATGAGAAAAAATTTGCCTTAGACCAGTCCATGAGGAGGATGTGCCATTGGTATTATCGTAAAGGTAACTGAACAAATCTGGTTCGCTCAATAGTATGCGATGATTTATCTATATGTCAAGGGACTATTTTTATCTTTCCACGCAAATCTGGCGCTACTCTGCTCTATCAGATGTAGTATTTGGCTAGCACTCAGCACGGGATCGAACCAACAACCACGTGTGTTAGGCAAGTAACCTCTAATCGCTGCACTATAGACAGAACTATTTATATCGTTTTGCCAGCAATTCTACCTAGCTATTGCCATACTCTGCTGCAGATTCTTCTTTGAAGTACCGCCAAAATTAGTTTTTCATATTTTAAAAACTTGCTGTACTTTGAAAAGAAGCGCCTATCTCATCAATCCGTGGAATGAATTCAGCAAAAAAAAATTATAAATTTCACGATAGGGAAAGCTCCTTCAAACCTACACCGAATTTTAAATGAAACAAATGCCACAATTGTTCAAAAGTCGGCTATTATTTTTATCTATCAAACATGATGGTCTCTGACTCAAATTTCCACTGATACGCTCCGCCTCAGTTGAAAATAAGATTTCAAATCCGAAAGTTATGAGTGCAAAATGTTTTTGGGTAATAAAATGGAAGCAAAAAGATGTAACTGTGACCTAATGGGATAACTTTGTCTACCTACGCTCTTTAGCAAGAAATAACAAGAAACGCCCAAATTTTACACTTAAACCCACCCTAAAAGAGTGACTCTCAATTTCATCGAAGGAAAACGATTTGTCAGGGATAGAGGCCGCGCTTGAGGTCACGTTTTGAAATGGCGGCTTGCCGCTTGTTGTTCTCAGCATCGCAGTGAATTGATAGTCATCTCAAACTCTAGAAGAAGGGCAGGATTTGAATCAAAAATATTTCCCATCCTTGCTTTAGAATATCACTGCTTAGTACATAATTCGTAATAACAGTGTTATGAAGCAACCTTATAAACAAAATCCTCCACATTCTCTAACAAGAATGAAAGCCCCCAACTTTATCACAGAGATTACAAAAAACTTGAAAAACAAAATTCTCAGGCACCATATTTCATGTTTACATATGAAAAAATTTTTGCCTATCAATCGTTGAAAAACGGAGAAAACATAAGTAGTACCATTTCATAGATCTTTATTTTTCCTCTTTTCAACAAAATTGCTAAACGCGAGAAAATCATATTTAAGCATTATGAACATTTTTTTCATTTAGAAAAAGAAATTCATTTCACTGAGTGCTTTTAAACCTCGCTTTAGACATTTAGTATAGTCTGTGAGAATGTTTAGAGCCTTTTCGAGGTTGGTGCGTCACAGTCATACGCACGTTTCGCTGGTGTCGCCCGCTTTATCAGTGACCCACGCCTTACGGGAAACGTTATTTATAGTTCCAAAAAAAAGAAAGATTTAAGCTCAAAAAAGGGGGTTGGTAAGCCCAGGGTCATACACCGGTGTTTCGGAGGTTCGTCCTCCTCATCAGTGACCCCCGCCCCACATTCAGCCCTGCATTGAAGCAAGGAGGGTGGCGTATGTGGTGATGGCACAGTGTACTATGACACTGTACCATCACCACCTCTCAGTCGATAGATTTTTGCTGTTAGATCAAAACTATATCAAAAGATCGACTGTTTTTGAAACCCCCAAAAAACATTCAATATAATTCCAAAAAAAAGAATGATTTAAGCTCAAAAAAGGGGGTTGGTAAGCCCAGGGTCATACACCGGTGTTTCGGAGGTTCGTCCTCCTCATCAGTGACCCCCGCCCCACATTCATCTTTTTTTGGAATTATATTGAATGTTTTTTGGGGGTTTCCAAAAACAGTCGATCTTTTGATATAGTTTTGATCTAACAGCAAAAATCTATCGACTGAGAGGTGGTGATGGTACAGTGTCATAGTACACTGTGCCATCACCACATACGCCACCCTCCTTGCTTCAATGCAGGGCTGAATGTGGGGCGGGGGTCACTGATGAGGAGGACGAACCTCCGAAACACCGGTGTATGACCCTGGGCTTACCAACCCCCTTTTTTGAGCTTAAATCATTCTTTTTTTGGAATTATATTGAATGTTTTTTGGGGGTTTCAAAAACAGTCGATCTTTTGATATAGTTATTTATAGTGTTAGCACATGGTACTGTGATATCACCATTTTTTTTGGTCGATGGATTTTAGCAGTATTGATGAGATGAATTTTCATAAATTCGCTTCCAGGCGTCATCCATCGACCGAGAAAATGGTAATAACACAAAATCACGTGTTATCACTATAAATAACGTCAGCCCATCCTTGCCAATGAGTTGGGTTCAGTGTGGGCCGTGTACCACTGATGAAGTGGGCGACAGCGCCGAAACGTACATATGGCTCAGACGTTCCAACCTCGAAAAGCCTCTTAACATTCTCACAGACTATAAGGAGAGACAGTGATAAATGATACAAAAAAAAACGACTTCATTAATGTGTATCAATGGCATTTCAAATTTCATAATTCTGTTTCTCAAAAAAATTTCCGATAGACAAAATTTTGAGCTTTCTAGCTTGCTCTATTGCTTAATGTGAATTGTTCTCTTTTTTTTTCTCTACGCCATATGCCCAAAAAATCTATGACCATCGCGTCATTGAACGTGGCCGCCTTACACGTGGGCCCGTGATTTGTCCGAAGACCTCCTTGATCGCAGATGGGAATTCAACTTATTTCACGGTCTGCGTTGTAAAGAAACGGCCTTTTCAGGATAGAAGTACAGCGTTAGAATAATAGACGATTACGCGATCGAATGATTATTAAT